CCTAGGTTCATTATCATATTCATAAGTTTTCCACGAGCTGTATCCAAAAAATGATCAGCGGAAAAGTGCAATGTTAATCTGTCCGCTGCTAAGTCCCAATTTTATTTTTGTTCGTTACTAAAATTGTCGAAAACAGCTTTGGCGGCACTTCTATGAGTAGGCAAAAGACGTGCCATTTTCTGAACTGTTAAACCCATAATTTTATTTATTTCTATGAATTGTTGCAAAGAATTCATTAAGCTTTTCCCACCATGTTCTCCAGAGAACGTGGGAAGTTTTGTGGAATATGAAGATGGACAAAACTTGTCAAAGGCGAAGTCTAGGCGTTCTACTGGATTTTGGGCTTCCATCTCGAGATGAGGATTCAATAAAGTGATGATTTCTGGTTGATTAGAAGTTTGGAGACGTTTTGCTTGTGTTTGTATTTCATTTGGTATAATTTTTATTTCTACGGGGTTGGGAGTGATTATTTCTTGGGTGTTTTCTATCTGATGTGCTTCTCTCAAGTCAAAGGATAAGTTTTCTAAGAGGAGGTGAATATGAATCGGAAGAATTTGATGTGGTAGAATTAGATGAAGATTTTGAACTTTCTAGAGGAGGTGCGGAAGACCCACGAAGTTGTGGTAGATTCTGAGTTCTATTCGTTAAATCGCTATAGTCTTTTATGGGAGATTCGAGAATGAGAGCGACTTCGTCTCTTTACAGAGCCTGTAGCAGTTATCTGGTGGATATAATGTGAGGTGTTCGAACCAATTTCCGTATCTGAACTATTCATAGAATAAAAGCACTTTGATTTTGGTTTTAGGGATATTTTAAATAGACCTTGGTTCGTAAAGTGAAAATATGCTGATTTTATATAGAAAGAAGAAAAACTTTTTGGTTTAGTTCAAATTTTTCAAAAAATCCCTCTTAGATTTTATGATTTTTGCAAAGTAAAATAAGAGTTAGTTAAAGGTTGTTAGTTGAAAAGATCTAGTGTACCTGACTTATTATGTATCTATGGATGTGCAAGTACTTGTGATGCGTGGCTTACTGTGGGTTCCTCGAGAATGAGAGGTGTGATTGAGATGGTCAGAGAAAGAGAGGGAAGAGAGAGGGAGCAGACCAGCCGGCTGGTTGGACCACTTTGAGTCGAATGAGCTAACTGATGAAATTTAGAGACGTTAACAGGTGGTTGTAATTGTCGGAAAATCTGGAGAGTTTAGCCAATCAGATTACGGTAGTGAAATATCACATTTTCCTCTTACAGCGGAAAAGATGCTAATGTGTCTTCCGAAGAATCTTTCCTAAAACACAGTATTATCGAATCAAAAGAATGGGGGAATTTTTTTTCTATATTTTTTAGTAAGCTGAATGTTTTGTTGCTTAGGCTTCTCGCCCTCAACAGCCATGCGATTTTGTTCTCCATATCTCTAGTCATAGTTATGGCTGGACCAGCTGGCAACTCTCGTAGGAATTAGTACTTATTGTACGCAGTGCACTTGCGCACTATCGGTGTTCTCTGTTTAATTTCTGTCTTGAAAATGCAAACTTCTTGAAAAGAGGAAAAAAATTGTCTGCTAATTCTTATTATTCCGGTTGCTAATAAATAATTTTTTTCTGATTTACTTACAGAGTCTGAGTACGATGAGCTTATTGGTTCTCCAGCTGACAGCTGGGTGTTGCAGAGCCTACTGAGTGACTTTTCATCACTTGCTCCTACTCCTTAGCCTCATGATGAACGATGTGATCTGAGGAAAATACGCAAGAAATTGGGAATGAGGTACTTTGATATATATATATACATATATTCTTGAAACTCTATTAAAATATTGTTGTTGTTTTCAGGATGCTCTTGCTGTAGGGAGATTGTTATCCTACATCGAAGAGCTCGAGCACAGAGAGTTCGTACTTAACAGGGAGATTGATGAATTAGAAACATCAAACGATACTCTGAGGAGATCAAAGGATACAGCTGATGGCACTGTAGCGGAACTAAAGCATGTAATCGCAAGAAATGCGATTACAATTCGACATATCGGTGTCGCAAATGGAGCGCGAGAGAGAGTGCCATGACCTACAAAATCGGCAAAATCTTCTTGCCAATGCAATTTTGAGAAAGGTTGTTCTTTTTTTAAAATTTTGTCTTGCAAAAAGAAAAACTCATTTTAAAGAATTGGTTGACTTGGGAGAAGACCTCCATACATTGCGAAGTTTGGTGCCTTTATTCAAAGAAACAAGGCAAGTTCCAACCTTGAGTGAAGAAATGCTGGAAATTGGGGAAGAACAACTATCTTATCTCGTAAGAGGCGAAATAGTAGAGACGCAACCTAGTTGCCAACCGCACTGCCACAATCAGTGTGAGAGTGGTTGGTGGACAGCTCAATAGTAGCACAACTATCGATTGTGAGTTTTGATTTAACATGTTTACGATTTTCCTCGGAGTAATTTGCCGTAATCTCAGGTGGTATGCATACTAGAGGATGTAGGGCTGGTAGCGAGCCATGGAAGGGGAGTCGAATGTGCGTTCAGCTGCATTTTGGAGATCTGGATATTACCAAAACTGGCGAGTTAATGGAGCTGTCGAGGTCATTTGAGGACATCCTGCTCCGTGGTAGCAATACCTCTGTAGTGCTGATCGGTATCTTGGGAAGCGAAGACCTGATAAATCGTTTGAACGCAAGAGCTGGACGGATCTAGAAGAGGAGAATATGTTATAGATGTTCGCCAATTGTTGGGAAGTTAGGTTATTTTGTTAATAGTTTTTTTGGTTTTTTATAATACAGAAGTTTGAGGGAAGTATATAGAAAAATTTAGTTGTTGAATATTAAACCTACTACAAAAGTTGTTAAATATGATATTTTCGTTTACTAGTTGCATAATATGAAATTAGGAATTATAATGTTTACTTAAGCATAAGAAAAGATGAGTTAGAGTTTTCTATAGTATCCCTTCAACTTCCTGAGTTGTTTGAAGATTGCTTAAAGTTGTGTGATAGTTTTTGTGTGGAATGTAAGTGTGGTCCACATCACTATATTATTGAGAGGAATTTTTATTATCATTAATTCAGCAATGAGAGAAAATAGTTCTGTTACAACTTCACGGCCAACTGACTTTACCGTATCCTTTATTGTAGATGTAGGCTGCTAATCCACATGGAATGCTAATCCAAGCGGCCACCTGTTATGATTTCGTCTTCCACGAGAAATTATTGCATTCTTTGAATTTAAATAATATATAGAACTCATTTTTGATTTTTAAATAATATATAGAACTCACGCGTTTCATTCGATTTTGCTGCGGCAGAAGTGCTGACGACGGAAGGGGGGAGGGGGGGGGGGGATTATTTTTTCTAAAGTAAGAAAAAAATTGTTTGGGTTAATCTCTTAAAATCTTCCCGGGATCTCCAGGTCAGGTAGATATTGATCAGATCCCCCCAACTGTGTAGCGGTGACGATATATGGGAAAGAAGAGTGTGTTTATTAATTGTTTATTTACTCTGCATCATAAACAGGGAAAGAAAGGGATGGGGAGGGAAAGAGTGGAGGCTGGAGCCACCAGCCGGGCTCATGTCAGCGGAGCGCACATACTGATCCTCTAATCGGCCGCACTCGGCCAACACCTGTCTGGTGGGCTGGATGATTCCCGACATATAATAATGTCTACAAGCCTTTGAGTTTTGCACAATAAGTTTAATTTTTATTGCGTTGAAAATGTCGAGTTTCGTTCCTAA